GAGGAGGAGGGGGAGAAGGAACGAGGACCGCGAAGCGCGAAGCGCGAATAACTTCGCGCCCTCGAGGGCGCCCTTGTTTACGAGGGCGTCTCGGTAAGGACCTCCTGGCTGCGCGTCGTGCGAAAGGCATGGTCGGACGTGGTCCGAATGCCAAAGCGCTCGTGCGTTTTCGGCCTGCAGCTCCATGCCCCGTGCGCGGCCCGTGCGCTCCGATCGTTGCGCACTGCCCCCCAAAGGGGTCTCCGTGCTGGGCCAAGGCGTGGAGTTCTGCGAAGAAGTCTCAATAGGGACCTTCTGACTGCGCGTCGTGGGGGGTTAAGGTGCGATGTGGTCCAACAGCCCATGCGCCCACAGTTCGCCCTGTGACTCCTTGCCCAGTGGACGGTCTGTGCCTTCTGTCATGCGACAGCGCGGCTCCTCGCGCGTCCTGACTGCCCCCCACAGGGACCCCCGCGCTGGACCAAGACGCAAACTTTTGCGTGGACATCTCAAACACGAACTCCTGCCTTCGCGTCGCGGGGAAATTCAAACGACATTTGGTCCGACTGCCAAAACGCCCGTGCGCTTTGCTCGAGTTTGCAGCGTGTTCTGGCATTCTCAATGCGAGTGCAAAACGCCTTTCCGCAGCTGCTTCGAAGCTCCTTGGGAGGTCCAGCGAAGCTCCCTTTCCAGAACTTGCGAGATGCCCAGGCATCCTTCCCAGCGACTTTGCAAGCGCCCTCACGCGCCGTGGACTGTGCCACTATCTGAGCTTTGGACTCCACAAATTCCCAGATTGCTCATTGGAACTTGGAGAGTGGTAGAATTAGAAGCCGGAACCGCAGGGTAGCCCCGGAGATCGTTCCGACTTCTGTGAAAACACCTCGGCGCGCCTTGCCTGAGCTTGCAGCGTGTCTCGGAGCGCGGCACGGGCACGATCGTCGCGCGCCCTGACTGCCCCTCAAAGGGCACTCCGTGCTGGGTCAAGCCAGGACGCGGACTTTTACAAGGACGTCTCAAACTGGAACACCGCACTGCGCGTCGCGGGGGAGTTGAGGTGGGATGTAGTCCGAGTGCCAAAACGCCCATCCCCAGGACGACAGTGTTGTCGCCTTGGGCCCCGACATGACGTTAGCAACTCTCGCGCCAGCGCGCAGAAGAGAAACCTCGGCGGCTCCGATGTCAAAGCGGTGCGGATCCGAAATTGGTTTGGATTCGTGCTGCGGTGGATCCGAGTTCCGCCCGGGCGCATCCGATTTCACATGTTGCGGATCCGGTGGGCGTCCTTTTTTTCGCACGGATCCGACTTATACCCCGCTCAAACTTCACAATATAAAAAATTGGGGGACCAAGAGAAGTCGCATCCGCGGCACCCGGGCCCGCCGCTGTGAAGCTTCTGCGGGGGACGGGAGCGTGATCACGAACTGCCACGGACAGGTCGCGCGTTGCCTCACGGACCTCATCCGCACTCACCGCGCACGGGTCGCACCCGACATGAGTATATCTCTCCTCACCCCTCAGCTACAGTGGAGGCCCGTCCACAAAAAAACCTTCCGCCAGAAACCCAACTCTGAGACCCCAGGACGTCCATTGACTCTTGGCGTGGGAACGTCACGCCTTCCATCGCAAAACCATCGAAACCCAAGAAACCCAGGGCACCCTGGAGGCGAGCAGGGTGTTTCTTGGCATACGCCCCCACTGTACGGCAAGCAACCTGTCCAGACGCCAGGCGTCTGGCGACGCCGACGCTCTCTCGCCAACCGCTGATCGCCGCTGGCGCCCCAAGAGGGAAACTGCTCGTCCTGCGTGGGAATGGTTCTCCAGGTCCCTACCCAAGGTCGACTTCCATCGAGTTGGCAGCCTAACTTTGAGAAAAGGCAGACAGACGTGGACCACCATCAAGTTGGCAGTCTGAATCTGAGACAAGGTAGACCGACGTGGAGAATGAATCACCACACCTTCTGTGACCGAAAACGTTGTTGAACAGCCCACCAAGAGGATACCAGCGACTATCTTCATGAGGTTGATCACTACAGATGAAGTGAAAAATTAAACTCGTTCAGAGCAGTCTTCGACTCGGACGAAGGGTAAAGAGACCAGCCACCTGCATGGCGAAGCATCCACCGACCCTGGTGAATCGCTTGCGCTCGACTGTGGTGTTATTTCGGTATTGCAGCGTCTTCCCTCAGAGCAGGACTGATTGCAATGGCGCCAGATGTATATCATCACGATGTGCTGGGAATCACTGGAAAAAAACACGATGGTGGCAAGCGTTCGTTCGCTACTTGTTACCACTACGCCGACTGGGATGATTACCCCCAAAGGTCCGTTGAGCACTACGCCCTGGCTGCTGCAACGGCAGGGCGAAATCGGACCCTGATTTTCAGCTCCAGGGATACGCCATCTGAGAGGCTCGTTGACATCATGGTGCAGTCGTGATTACGTGCACCGTTTCCATCACGGCTCAGGGACTGAAGAGTCGAGTGGGGACCAGGAGGGGCAGGGAGGAGAGGCAGGGAAGTGCAAAGGGGCACTAGCGCCTGCAGAGCACGCAACAAGATTGCCTGGCCAGGGCATCGTGGGCCCAGGCATGGTGCATGCGCCCTCCTGGTGCATGCGCCCTCCTTGCCGAGGCCATGGGGGGCCCATACGGCAGGTGCATGTCGTGGCGACCCCAGCATTGGTGTCTGACACCGCGAGGATCGTTCAACTTTGAACGATAGGCGGCGTATCGTTCCGTGTTGGACGATCCTGGGCCACTGGCGGCGTTCATCCCTGAACATCCGCGGCGCGGTCACCGCCGCGTCGGCACGACACAAGCCAGCCGTGCACCATCGGAAACCCCAGCATGGCCTGAGGTCGGGCATGTCCCCCTGCAGGCGGATTCTGGGCGAAAAATTAGAGAAATGGTCAAAAAAAATGCTCCCAGGTAGTCCACTGCAGGCCGAGAATCGTCCCCAGGCTACATTTGGGCTGCCGAGGCCCTGCTCTCTCCTCCTCCTCCTCCTCCTCCCTCCTCCCTCCTCCTCCTCCTCCTCCTCCTCCTCCTCCTCCTCCTCCTCCTCCTCCTCCTCCTCCTCCTCCTCCTCCTCCTCCTCCTCCCGCGGTGTCGGAGATGCGGGAACGGGCACGAGGCGGCAGCACGTGCGCGAGCAGGGGCAGGGCGCCGGGAGGAGAGGGCGACGGTGCAGGCAGGCAGGAAGCGCGGGCTGGCGCGGCGACGGCGAGACAAGGAGACCGACAAAGGCGCGGACGGCGGGGCAGGTGCGCGAGCAAGCACGCTCGACGGAGAGACGTCGCATGCTCCCACGCGCGTCAACAAACAAGTGCCTCGTTGCTGCACGTTCCCAAGTCGGCCCCGCCTCAACCAATATTAAGCCTGAACATGTCGTTCTGGCAATAATAATTGCCTGTCGGCCCTTGGACGAGCTGGAAGACCTGCACACCGAACGGACAACTATGTGTCCATGTAACACAGACACAAACATATATACATAATGTGACGATGTGTGTATATAAACGTGTGCACTTCTCCGAGAGGGGGTTGAGCTCAGAGGCGATCAGATGAAGGCCAGAGTGTCCCGTTCGCGATTCGTCTGGTCGTTTCGCTTCAGACATTTCGGAGATCCAAAGAACAGACGCACCCCTTACGCAGATCGCGACACCAGGGTCCAAAAACGCAAAGGATTCAGTTCAAAAGAATACCTTCAAAAGCACAGTGGTTTTCCGTGATTTCGGAGACATCCCCAACAAAAAAACGAAACCCGACGTGTGTCAAGCTGTCCTCATACGCTCCAAAATGAAAGTTTCGCTCGAGACGTCTGCAATCGCACTGTGTAGAGCCCCCTCCTCAGCCACACTCATCGCAAAATGTGGCAACCCCACCTGCGTTCGACTGCGATCCCGCTAGTGCACACCCCTCCCAACAGCAATCTGGTGATCCTCAAGATCTTCCTTCTCTACTATTTCCTCTGCTCATGCGATGCTGGCGTGCTGCAGTTTTTCTATGAGCCTGGGCACGCACGTTCCACTATACATGCAACTATATGAACATACATACGACACGTGCTACGGGCTTCGTCGATGAAGGGAGACCGCACCTCATGATGACGAACAAAAGCACATGCGCATGCCACGGCGTGGTCCCGCAATACAACAGGATGGACGTGAGTGGCTCAAAAATGCAGAAAATACTTGTGCCATCGACGACACACTGCCCGATTCCGTCCCGTCTCGAACCTTTGTTGCCAGAGCTACAAGCAGAATCACACTCTAGCTGCGAAGTGGCAGTTCCGATGACGCCTCAGGAGTCTGCAAGAAGAAGGCCGTCTATTGCCACGAATGACTCCATTCCGGACCACCAACTGTATCTTCCTACTCTACCTGGAGGATAGATCAGCCTGTTCGAATGGCGTATGCGGGTGGGTTGTTGACCCCATGTCGCGCTTCCCAAGCACGCGATGGACGGATTCTTGAGCAGACACCAGGTAGTTATGAAAAGATCTATCTCCATATCCAGATTCGCCTCCACCTTTCTCACCGTCATCGGTATCACTGTGAGGGTCAATGTCAGCATCGTTCTCGGTACTGTCACCAAAAGCATAAGCTATAGATGTATGTACGTATACACACACACACACACACATACAAACCACACACACACACACGCGATACTCGCGGGCTTTTTACTGTAGCACGCCTCAGCCTGCCCAGACATACATGGATGCATCCACACGTCCATCAGAATATACACCGATCCAAACACACGTCCGTCCATATCATCAAGTATCCAGCCATTCGCACATGCATCTATCAACCCATTTCTCCTCACAGCATCAATACACCCATCCATCCTTACAGTGATACAACCATTGACTCATGCATTTACCACCCTCCAATGCCCCGAAGGTGGATCGCGGGGAGGTCTGGGGTGGGTCGCGGGGTGGGCTGCGAGGCGGGTCGCATGGTGGGTCGCGGGTTGGATGGCGAGCGGAGCGAAGGGGGGGGTCGCGGGGCGACGGCGACAACAGGAGAAAGAACAGAAACAAGAAGAATCTGCACCGCGGCACTCCACTTCAGCCATGCACCCACAGACAGTATGATACCGATCGGCCATCTCACTATGTCCCAATCAGATCGTGCATTATCTTATACACTAGTCGTGCTGGTACCCGTGTGGGTCTATCACCAGGTTAATGACGATGATATTCGCAATGCTGACGATGATGAGGGCGGCGGCAGTGGCAATGGCGGTGAGGACGCCAGGTTCGGAAGTCGTGTTCGTCGTAAACACTAGCATGGTCGCGATCGCCACCACAATTACCGACACCATCAAATACTATGCCGGTATTTTATAAGATTGCCCCGAATGCGACGTTTGCCGCACACTTCGCAATATCATTACCATTGCCAAAGCCGTCTTCATTGACGTCGTCATCATCATCATCATCATCATCAACAACATCATCATCATCATCATCATCATCATCATCATCATCAGCATCAGCATCAGCATCACCATCACCATCATCATCAGCATCATCATCATCAGCCTCCTCGTCGTCGGCGGCGGACTCGTCGTACCTATGGATGTTAAGTTTCTCGCCAGGGGTGACTTGTAGAGGCCATTCCATAGGTGGGGATACTGGGTGTAACGGGGCGAATGCATAGGGTTGGGACGTTTGGCAAGGTGTGTTGCGCACTGCACATATGGCAATCCAACGCACTTCGCTATCATATAGAATGTACACATATGATCCGTCAGCATTCACGTGTCTGCACATATGAACAACTGTGTATGATAAACCAAACGCATGCACACGTCTGGGCACTCCTCTCTGTCTATCCGTATACATACAGATGTAGATATCAGACATATGCCTCTGTATATGTGTACATATACATGTGTGCATGCTGCGCCTATGTATCGTTCGTTCCCTCACTCATCTCTCGCTCCCTCTATGCACGTAAATAGATATATCGATGATATGTGTCCCTCTGTCTCTCGATAGGTGTATGCACACACGCATACTCATGTGTATACATATATACGCATGCATATGTACATGTTTGTCCATGTCTCTCTGTGCATATGTATGTATGCACCGCTATCCATAGCTGACCGTACACACATGTTACATTCACAACTCGTAAGCGTATAAAGATGTATAGACACGTGAATACGTCGATAGATGCATTCCCAAAACGGCGTTTGCACTTGGAGGCTCTTACTCATGTCACCAAGGAACCAGATGAGTCCGGCGAGGAGTTTCCACGTTGCCGCCCGTGGCCGCCTCGTGGCCGCCTCGTGACTGCCTCGTGGCCGCCTCGTGGCCGCCTCATGTACTGGGTGAGCCTGGCCATGTTTCGCCACGTTGTCGATAATGGCCGCCTCGTGGCCGCCTCGTGGCCACCTCGTGCGCAAGGAGGGTTCAGCGAGGTTTTGCCTCGTTGCCGCCTCGTGGCCGCCTCGTGCGCTGGGTGGGTCCAGCGAGGTTTCGCCACCTTGCCGCTCGTGGCCGCCACGTGCCCGCCTCGTGCGCTGGGTGGGTCTGGCGGGGGGTCGCCACGTTACCGCCTGTGGCCGCCTCGTGGCCACCTCGTGCGTTGGGTGGGTGCGGCCCACGTTGCCGCCCGTGTCCGCCTCATGGCCGCCTCGGTTGGTCGGGCGAGGTTTCGCCACGTTGCCGCCCGTGGCCGCCGCGTGGCCACCTCGTGCGCTGGGTGGGTCCGCTGGGGCTTCGCCACGTTGCCGCCCGTGGCCGCCTCGTGGCCGCCTCGTGGCTGCCTCGTGGTCGCCTCGTGGCCGCCTCATGTACTGCGTGGGTCCAGCGAGGTTTCGCCACCTTGCCGTTCGTGGCCACCT